TAAACAGTGCTTGATCTGTGCATATTTCTGATGAGACAACTGTTTCATTGGAGGAAGTAATGTTATGGATAGAGGACTTATTTTGGCTGGAAGCAACGGTTCGAAGTGCAGATTTTTTGTGAATTACTGTAACATTATTATCTTAGAGAAACAAATCACTTACAACTGAGAAAAGTTGTATAAAGTCGGCCTGGAAACTAAATGTTTATATAAATTTTGGTAGTCTTTTACCAAGAAAGACAAAAATAGTCTACACTACATAGGCTAATTTATTTAGTGTAGTGCTTATAATGAAATCTTTAACTTTATTTTAACATTGCTATTATACATTTTCAAATATGTATGTTTTAAACATTTCAAAACTATAATTTATGTATGCATGTACAGTATATAAAGATAAAAACTATCTTGTTTAAATGTAAGACTTCTGCAGACAGTGAATGTCTTTTTGATAATGTGACTACATGCAGGAAAAGTCTTACATTCGCATGATAAAGAGATGCCAAACCAAACTTGACGTTGAAGCTAATCCATCATGGAAAATCTGTGCTTTCTGGTTTAGCACTTCTTAGATCATCAAGTGATAGCCAGCAAACGGAAGGCTTATGTTTGTGCAATAACCTCACTGTGGGAACCATAAATATATCCCACCCTATGGACCTTACTAATCTACAATCTTTGGCTGAAATGGGGAATAGACTACTTTTAGCCAGACATTTTTATTTGTATAATGGCATTTTGGTGATCACATATGACCTATGATTAATGTCTAGAGAAAAATATGCACATACAGTACATCCAGGAAATTGTGCATTAATTACACGACTGTCAGAGTAATTTAATGAATAATTTAAAAAGTCATTTGTGCAATTGTTCAGTGTTAATGGAATAGCTCACCCCAAAAATTAACATTTGCTGAAAATGTCCTTACCCTTAAGCCATCCAAGATGTAAAGGAGTTTGTTTCTTCATCAGAACAGATATGGGGAAATTTATCATCGCATCACTTGCTCACCAATGGATCCTCTGCAGTGAAAGAGTGAAATGCTGTTTGTAAAAGAAAGAAAAAACATAATTTAAGGCATTCTAACTTAAAACCGTTTATCCCCTGTTGTCCTCTCACATCAAAATCCACTGAAATATTTGTTTAGAACCGATTTGGACTGTTCTGGCTTGTAAACAGTGCTTGATCTGTGCATATTTCTGATGAGACAACTGTTTCATTGGAGGAAGTAATGTTATGGATAGAGGACTTATTTTGGCTGGAAGCAACGGTTCGAAGTGCAGATTTTTTGTGAATTACTGTAACATTATTATCTCTCACTCTCATTCTGACGGCACCCATTCACTACAGAGGATCCATTGGTGAGCAAGTGATGTAATGCTAAACTTCTCCAAATCTAATCTGATGAAGAAACAAACTCATCTACATCTTGTATGGCCCGAGAGTAAACTTCCATCAGTTTAATTTTGTGTGAACTATTCCTTTAAATGACAAAACTACAGCTGTTAATGCTAGAGAAATACTATGCTTTGTTGACTTTTTTTTCCCAATTATAATCATGCAGTCTAAAGCCTAATGATGAGTCTAAGATGTGATTTCTCCCGCATACGTGAGATTTCACCCTCTGCTCGTACAGCTCCACTTGAAAACACTCAAGTGTTTCATATACCATTATAATGATGAAGCATGTCTTTAAAGCCGTTGTTTTTCAAACAGCATGTGTTCTCAATTATGCTGCCTGAGGCCAAAACAGGTTGAACATTCCTTGTTGTCAAAAGTTTCTGGATCAGTTCTGATGAACAGTCAGATTTCAGTTCAAATACGGCGTGTTGTGTGTTGTACTGTGTGGTCATCTGAGTGTTTTTCTCAGGTAAGAACAAAGGTGAGGTAATAAATACTATGTGGAAATGGCAGCCTAGAATGACATTATTTAGGATTCATTCAGTAATGGAGACAGAACTGCACCCCTCAGGGTTTGAAAGGCTACCAACACCTTGAATGCATCTGTATACTGTTTCACATTTTAGGCCTTTTTTCCACTTTTGGGCACAATTTCCAAGCGCAGTATGAAATCAGTTATTACACAAAGTTGTGGATGGGTACAGAAGTAATATTCAATTGAATCCCCCCTGCCGTCACTATGAAAATCCTGCTGATCAGGATGAATTTCCATATGCTTTTTAGTGCTGGTGGCCCATAGGCCTGTTTGGGGCATCAGGACAGCACTGTACCATGCTGGGAAGTCCAGCAGGGTAAAGAGGGAATACCCATGCTGAACTATTTGTGGAAATAAAGAAATCCCAGCCCAAATAAAATACAGAAAATGGTTTAGAAGTCCACAAATGTATATATATATATATATATATATATATATATATAAATATTATTTCAAATATTTTAAATTCCCATGACAACAGTGAGGACCCAGTAATGACATAACAGAAATGAGAAATGGCAGCTGATGCACAAGGCTGACTGTGAAAGTTCCAATTCACAGGAGACAGAAGCTCCAAAGCCCTGAGGAACAAGGTCAATGGACAGAACAGTTTTTCCTTTTCAGAGGGGAACAGCAGCGAGCCTTTTCCCACGCTTGGAGTGCAAAGCAACAGAGGGATGACCCTTAAATATTAGTTTGATTACAATATAAATTAACTGTGAATGAATTTAAAAAGTGAACTAGTAATAAATATAGAGTTTACAGTTAGCCTGCCATAAAATGCTCAGTTTATTCTCAACCAGCCTGAATATTTTTGATGATGCAGACAGGATAGAAGGAACAAATGACTCAGATCCAGTGGCTGAACGTCTCTGTCATAAACACAAGTGTCATGATGGGACGAACAGTGCCTGATATGTAGCATCTTCCTGGAATAGCTTCTCCTTTTTATCAGCACCAAGGGAATGTGTTTCTCAGCGTGTGGTCACAGTGTCCCTCTATGTCCTGCTCTCAAAGGGTCATCTGAGGTTGTATCAAAAGAGTGATTGCATTCCTTTGACAAGGTTCCTAGTGAGTGGCATGTTCAATCAATTCTTTCATGCTGTCAGTTTATATTTCAGATGTGATTATGGAGCAGAAACAAGAAAAGGTTAAAAAAAAGAACAAAAGAGAAAAATTATGATAAAATATCAATAAAGGGTTGCAGATCTTCAGCAGCTTTTGAATATGCTTACAGCATTTTGTGTTCATGGCATGTTGGCTCATGAGTGCCCCCAATTATTAATAAATTACTGTTGTGCTGTGATACTGCAGTCTTTCTTTGGTAGATGCTGCCCTCTGCTGACACACTTTTTAAAAAAACGAATGAATGAGAATGAGATGCTACCAAGGACATGCAAAATGAATGTTATCTAAAATAAAAGGAGAAAGTGACCAGGATGCTGAAATCTGTGCTTCATGGGTACTGAACCCTTTGCATAAAATAAGGAAAATGTATTGGTAATTTTCTGTCAGGACATTATTAATTAATTTTATGGATATTTCTAATAATTGTAAAACACTGTAAAGTGTAAAATGCAGGTAAAACACCTGTAAAAATCAATATGGAAAATTTCTTCATTTTAGTACAGTACATTGTGGCCTTTTTTTTTTTTTTTTGCAGTGTATAAGAATCTTATATGTCATGCTTTCCCCCACACTTTGGTACTATTTTGTATGAAAGGTGTACATTTTCAAAATCCCGCAAAAATCCACAAAATTATAAATTATCAAAATTATATATATATTTTCAATCCACATAATCATTGTTTTAAAACACAAGACCTTTTTAATATGAGGACATTTAAATTAATTAAAGATGTTATAATAATACAAGCTACAGCTATCATGAAAATATACTTACATCACACAACTTATGTAACTGACTTCAAATAATATTTGTAATAGTATCTATTCAGTGTGTTATGATGTTATGAGATGGCCATAAGGTTTTGTGTTAGAACAGATACTGTCAATACAATAAATGTTCTCTGAATCGATACTGTAGTAGTTGACCTTTTCAGATGACGGGTCAGTTAAAAGCTGTAAATAAAAGTGTGATCGTGATAGAATTATAAAAAGCCGTTTTGTACTGTGAATGATAACTTTACAGATGAAAAACATGTGTAGTGAATATGATACTTTAGTTACAGTTTTATGTTTTGTACTAACATAAGTGAAATTTTGCTAAAATGTTGAATATTTGTTGTATTTGTATAAGTATATAACTATAACTATAATGAAAGTGCTAGCACAAATAAATAAACACATAAATAAAAATGTATATAAATATAAATATAATTGTGTATTTCAAACATAATTGATCTAAAACTGTGTATTTATGCAGTGGTAAGTTATTGCACCAAAGGAAAAAAACTGTAAGAGCCCTAATAATAAAATAAATGTCACACTTTTAATAGCACTAATAAATAATAATAATAATAACAATAATAATGATGATCATGATGATGATGTGATGCTCTGTTTCATATATGTTGCTTTAATTATGTATTTTATATAAAACTGCAGGAATTGACACAACAATTCTGTTGGTGTCTTGATGCTGATCTCCCACTAGGAGGCAATGTTTCATAAATAATTACAAACAGGAAATAAAGCGGATTCAAAATGATGTGATGCTCTGTTTCATATATGTTGCTTTAATTATGTAGTTTATATAAAACTGCAGGAATTGACACAACAATTCTGTTGGTGTCTTGATGCTGATCTCCCACTAGGAGGAAATGTTTCATAAATAATTACAAACAGGAAATAAAGCGGATTCAAATTCCTCTACTTCCTGTAAGTACAAATAAATACAAATGGATATATTTAAGCCAAGTGCTAACTTTAGAGTATGTCATATTGACATGCAATGCATGTATTGATAAATATGTGGGAAAAGCTTCATCAGGGTGAAATATATTGTCACTTGCTGCTGCTAGTGTGTCAGTGTTCTCTGTAGTCTTCATGAGGGCCTAGCATTGAGGCGTCGCTGCATCAGGCTGTATATGTGATGGTTGTGGGGGATGCATGCACTGACCTTGATGCTACTGTCTGACTCACCATGCGCACTGTTTTATTGAAGATTTCTGAAGACGTGGGCCAACAAACATGATACAGTTTGCTTTGAGGTCGGATGCACTGTAAGTCTGTGAATGGACTTGCTAACGCTGGCTCTCACTTCTGACGAACAAGGTGGTAGGTTTATGGATTGAATTAAATACACAGGCATACAGTCATTCAGAATGAATTCTCGGCTCTTACGTTTGTAGATCGGACTATCATATGATGAAGTGCAGCTGTAAAAGTCAAAGGAGGAAATCGCCATATCTGAATGCTTTAACCTCATGAATGCATTTATATTTATGCATTTGGCATTACTTCAAGATCAAAGTGAAGAGTTTCAGCCATGAAATGTGTGTTATTTTTACAGGCTTGTCTAGCAATCATAAAGATTATGTAAGGGTTTAATATAAATATCCAATGCAAACCTCTGATAAGTTCACGTATATTCATTATAATATAAGTTTTTTATTTATTTATTTAGTTTTATTTATTTATATATGTGTAGATATACAAACAAATATACACATACATAAATAAAAAAAAATCATTAATAATATATTATAATTTAGTAAATACTTTTATTTATATGTATAGGTTATGTATGTATGTATGTAAATATACACACTAGGCCTATATATTACCCAAAGCAATACATACACACACATTTTAATATAATTTACACACTATACTATAGTTTTTTTAATATATTTTTTAATTTGATTAGATTAAATTTGGTTATGTTTTCATTTTAATTTTACCTAATGTTTTAGTAAGTTTATTAAATTTTCATTTATTTATTTTTTTAAAATATGTCTATATAGATTTTAAGTTTTAGTTTTTATTTTTAGTTATTTTAAACTAAACAAAAATTAGAAACGAGAAAAATGAGAAATTTTCTTGGCAACTAGCTGAAATAAAATGTTTAATTTTTTTTTAATTGTATCTTATTTAATTTTAGTTAATGTTCATTTTAATTCCAGTAATGAGTAATGAAGTGTTTGTACATAGCTTTAGTTTTAATGAAAATAAGCCTGATACCCTGATACAAAATATGTTAAATTAATTAAAAATAAAATAATCATTAAAATAATCAATCCAAATAATGATGAGGTGATTTATTTATTATGGTTACCATATTGAAATTGATTTCCATGGTTTTTAATGTTTTTGTTGTTGTTGTTGTTGTTGTTGAATGTAAACCCCACTGTTGCTCCACTCTTGCATAACGTTTTAGCCCATTAATCTTTTTATAATCAAAGTCTGAGATCAAATTACTACTAGAGCACAACACTCAAGTACATGTAGCCCCTCTTTAATCAACAGGACCTTCATCTGACAAGAAGCATGAGATACTCGCTTCTAATGTTGCGTTGACTATATGCTGTATATCTACTGGACCATCTTCTAGCCCCCATTTGGCTGATGAAATTAAAATATTCAGCCATTGCCAGTGTTTCGTTGTAGAATCATATTCTGTGGACAAATTGTGATTGCTTTTGTGGATTAATGAGAATATTCATGCGATTATTGTCTAGGCGGTGCAATATAGTTTAATGCACAGTCTAGTGTGAAAGCAACCAAGGACATGATTTACAAACCAAACGACGGCCCTTTATGTCATTACATGTGTAAACAAATACAAAAGCTAACAAATCTTTATGGCTGCTCGTGCAAAGACGTTATCAAATGTATTTCCTCTTTCTGAACTCCAGTATTTGATTTTCGAACTGGGTGATGAACTTTCTCATTACTGTCAGCAGGAATGATGTGGCTTAATCTTGAGCTGAGAGAATCATGTGGACAGCTTTGGCAACTGGGTCCAAACCGTTGCCTTGGCAACTGTGTAAACCTACACTTGAAGCTGTTCGTTGCCTGTGGGCATTGATGGTTAAATATGAAACACAAGCTCGGTCTGGCCAGTCATGTGCATAACAAGCCTGTTTATCTCATAGTGAAGCATCTGTGATAAATCTGGGCTTTACATTTTTATTCTGTCCACATTAAATAAAAATAGGAACAATCCAGGGTTATTAAGAAAGTAACTACTAAAATTTAAACTAAAACCTAAAAAAAGGAAAAGAAACATTAACTGAAACTAAATAAAAAGAAAAAAAAAAAAAGCCTTTTTATTTTAGCTGGTTGCCTCATATTTTACTAAAACTAAAATTTTTACTAATAATTTAATAAAAATGTGAAAAGTTATAACATCTAATATATATAACCTATATCTGCTTTTTTCTTTCAGTTTGACCTGTAAGTCTAAAAAAACACACACACAAGATATGAAAGCACATTACCACTTTAATGCAAAATTGTATTCACTTTAATTTAAAATTGAGTTAACAAAATCATTTATAAAAAAATCTTTAAAATAAATACTAGTACACCAACTTTTAACATTCTTAAGCCTTATAGCAGTCCAGACAGATTGTCAGTGTCTTTAAAAAAAAAAAAAAAAAATTTTAAAACCATTATTTTTCATGATGATTTTGCTAATATTATTTTATTTATTTATTTTTTTAAATAAGATACCACCACTTTACCATGGTACCATCACAATACTTTTTGTAAGGGGTTATTTATTGTAAAAAAGGATGAATAAATTAAATAAATTAATGCATTAAATATTCAAACACTTTTCTCCATTTTATAAACTTTACAAAACACATAATTTGCTTTTTGAAAGTATGCTATGTGCTTTTAAGCCCATGCGTACTTCAGTAAAGTCTGTATCTCCTTTGTGTTGAGTACAGGTTTTTGTGCAGATGCATCTCTCTCCACCAGCAGCTCTGCTGTTCCCTCTCATGGACACTATTAAGGGGATCTGGGAATGCAGTCACTCTGATTCCGTTATGCGGTTCTCTTCATCTCTTCATGGCACTCCGACCGCCTCAATCAGCCTTGTTAGGGTCTGCACCGGTCCCTTCCAATTCTTGCCCGAGCTTCCACCTTTTGCAGAACCAAAATGCACCTACATTTTTCATTTTGGTTCTTCATCTTCAGTTGGTGGTCTGGCTGCAATGGCCTTTTTGCTTCTTGCCTTAGCGCTCTTCACTGTGAGCTGGTTGACTAGATTTCGGTAGGCAGCGGAGCGCAGGAATCGTGGGTGACAGTCCTTTTCCATGAGAATATAGATGCGGTACTGGGCCATATCGAAGCAGGATGCCGTAGGGCTTTTCAAGTTGGCTCGAGTAATGTCTCGGGTCTCATAATCAATGTTAACCTGGAAGCGAACAGGAAGTGAGTTCAAACATCTGCAATTTAGGAACGATACCACAGGATATGGTGATTCATTATGTATATTTACCTCTCTAGGAGCTTCACTTCCGATAAACTCCTCGTAGATCCTCTTGGCTTTGGATGGCATCTTAGCTGCAGACTTTGTACTTTTGTAGTCCTCACAGGCCAGGTAGAAAGCAATGTTTTCTTCACTAAACTCAGATATCAGGAAAGCTCTGAAGGCATATAGTCCATCTGATAGAGAGCGAAAAATGGGGTTAGAGAAGAGATTAGTTGTGTAACGTGTCTTATCAGATTAAAGCCCCCCACACAGATCAGACAGCAGGACAGACACATCTGTGCACTGCAGTCCTATTTCTAGCATCTAAATGTATACCTAACTCTAAATTTAGGCTGAACTCTAAATTCAAAGCTGTAAATAAAACTTATTGGAGTATGTTTTATAAGAAAACTATTTCAGTCTTTCACATTAATTGCCATTTCTTTGTAGTTATTTGTGAAATTTGCTAGCAATGGAAGGGAATTTTTTCCAAGTAAATCGTACTCCAAATGTTTTTTAATGTACGTCATTACTGAGGCTGATTTTTACTTGATGTTATAATTTTTCTACATTATATTCATCATTTAATTATAATGATTTGCTTTACCTCATAACGTTTTTAAACATAAAATGGGGTCATCTTTATTACACAATGAAAAAAACCCCAAATATATATATTTCAGAGTTGATTATCAAAGATTGTTGGAGTACATTTTACGAGAAAAAAGTCTTTCTGCTTCAAAATTTCACACTTACAATATATTACTTGTTAATTCTTTGTACTTATTTGTGAAATTATTAGCAATTGAGTGAATTTTATTTTTTTTTCAGTGTGGACTTACGTTTGCTGGACAGAAGCTTCTCAAAAGACTGTTTCCACATCAGACATTCCTCCAAGGTCAACCTGCAAAGATGTAAGCCAGTCAGAGAAGAAACCGTATAAAACTAAACACGCTTTATCATGCAAAAAGAAACATGTTATGAAATAGGCAAAAGCCAGTGCATTCAATAACTGTACTTACCTTGGTTTTCTATATTTACATAGGCTGCTCAAGTCTTGTCTCTGCAGAAATCCACCTACGCATGCCTTTAATCTTTTGGCCCTGATGTTAGAAAAGCATTTATTTAATATACAACATATGTACACTTTTGAAATATACACAGTTCTTATAAGATTAAAAGCCCCTACTGATGTTATATAAAAGAGTAGAGGTTTACGTTTAAGCCTTCAAATGATTTGTATAAAATATAAAAAGCACATAAAACCCTTAAAAATGTCAATATGAGGATCGTACCTTTCTAGGCAATTGTTTGAGAGCCCTGTTATTCCTCTACACATTGGAAAGCCAGAAGGGAAATAAATATCCATTGCGCAGTGTGATCTCTAAGTGAAATTTATCAGCAGTGTGTCTGCAGTGAGGGAACAGGGAGTTTATATAGAGCAGGAAGCAGAGCATCATCTCTCCTCTCGGCCAATCGCGATCCAGTTCACTCTCCACTCATGTACTGTGTACTGTGCATTCATGTGTATGTGAAAAGGCAGGAAAGTCCACAGTGATGGACGGTAATGTTCACAAGTGTGGTTATTGTAGGTGCCCTAATTTAGGTCATTTTAATGTTCTTTTACACTGCTGACACACTGTTCCAGAAATATGATTATTTCAAAAGCATAAATAAAAATAACATCCGCAACTCTGAATTTTTATATCTAAATTTATTTATTTATACAGTTTTAAATGAGTGCTTGACTAAAAACTATGGCAACATGAAGAGGTTCAATTTAAGATTCTCTCTCTCTCTCTCTCTCTCTATATATATACACTGAACAAAATTATAAATGCAACACTTTTGTTTTTGCCCCCATTTTTCATGAGCTGAACTCAAAGATCTAAGACTTTTTCTATGTACACAAAAGGCCTATTTCTCTCAAATATTGTTCACAAATCTGTGTTAGTGAGCATTTCTCCTTTGCCGAGATAATCCATCCACCTCACAGGTGTGGCATATCAAGATGCTGATTAGACAGCATGATTATTGCACAGGTGTGCCTTAGGCTGGCCACAATAAAAGGCCACTCTAAAATG